ATTATTATTTACTATTATATTTTAATTACTCTTCTTCTTCTTCTTCTTCTTATTATTATTATTATTATTATTATCATCGCAAGATAGAAACTGACGGGCTGTGACTGGCTGGATTCCAGCAGATTGTTTCGACGTTGGGATTCCAGGCAGAATTCAGTTTGCGCTTAGCGGTGACGCTGTTAGAGCCGGGAATGTAAATTGCTGGAAGGTGAGTTATTGCTCGTGTGTGCGCGCGTGTGCGCGTGTGCGTGTGTGTATGTGTGTGTCACTCTCTCCCTCTCGCTCTCTTTTCTCTGTCTCTCCCCTTCATTGACCGCTCTACGTCTCCACGTCTCGTTCGGATCTTGTTTCCGTAGCTCTCACACTTTTGTCAGAAAACACCCAGATTTTTTTTTGTGTACACACACACACACACACAGAACTGGTGGAAACACACACACACACACACATACCACACACCACACACAGAACTGGTGGAAACACACACACACACAGAACTGGTGGAAACACACACACACCCACACACCCCCACACCCCCCCCCACACACACCCCCCCCCCCACACACACACACACCCCCACAGAGAATTGGTGGCCCCAATCACATGCAAACTTAAATGTGCAGAACTAGACGTTGGGATCAGACAGAGACCCAGTGTGCAAAGGAGAAGGAACACACAGACACAGACAGAGCTGTGTTTGGGGAACACATCTCGAGGATTGTGCAAAGGAACACAGACAGACAGACAGACAGACAGACACAGACAGACAGACAGACAGACCCAGGCAGTCTGGCTGACAGACTCCAGACTGCCCTTCTCCAGGTAAGAAACCCCTCTGAGTTGTGAGGCTGACCTTCCAGGTGGAGTTACTTTGGAGATACCCATCGAGTGGTGAACTTCAGGCTCTGTTTCACGTCCCAACAGTTTGGGAGGGGAGAAGGTTTGCAAAGGGACTGAGTTTGGGCTCTGATGTGATTGTGGCTTCAGTGTTGGGTTTGGGAGGACAGGTCCTCCTCAGCCCAAAGGTGACCCAAGGAACCAGGAAAGGGGACATGTTTGGGGGGAATCCACACATCAACCCTCTCTGTGTCACCATCAACCCCTATCTGATGTCCTTCATCTAACCAACTGTCCCTCACCTACACCCCTACTCCCACCACCACCACCTCTCTCCCTCTTTCTCTCTCTCTCTCTCTATCTCTCTCCCCCTCTCTCTCTCTCAGTCCCTGAAATTTTTTTTTTCACATATATGATTTTAGACTCTGAATGAAAAGGAAGGAAGGAGAGAGAGAGAGAAGAGAGAGAAGGAAAAGAGAAAATGGAAAGAAGAGGGAAAGAGAGAGAGAGAGAGAGAGAGAGAAGGAAAAGAGAAAATGGAAAGAGGGAAAGAGAGAGAGAGAGAGAGAG